ATATATATATATATATATATATATATATACAAGTGATATGCTAAGGACAAAGTTGTAATAAAATAATTAAACGATTGAGCAGTTACCCTATTTCTATTTAGAAACATCAAACAGGTATGTAGTGAAATAATACAGCACATATTTGAAAGATTGGAATTGATTAAAATTCAAAAACAAAATTACATTAAGAAAATAAATCTGGATGAACATTGTAACATTTTTGTGATCTATTTGAATTGGGTTAATTGATTCAAAGTTCAACAGTTTATATTTGTTATCACCCTTTATGCAAAATAAAAATCACGACAAATCTGGATACTTGTAATGTTGTTGTTTTTTGTTGTAGGTGAAGTATCCTTACGTTATTGCGAGAATTTTCTAACCTTTAACCAATTTTTGTCGTTCTTTAAAAACGACAAAATTTCACTTGTTAGAGATGCCAAAATGTCCTATTTCCTAAATGGCGAAATAGGTTCTTCTTCAGCAAATTTAATAAGAAGAAATAAGGAAAACTACCATCATATGATAACAGGTAATAATCCACGCACTTTACATGTAATGATCAACGCGAAAGATTTAGCAACCGCTTCTGACTAAGGTGCTTAATCTAATTATTTGTGTATTGATGTCATACATTCCCTATTGGTTTTCCATAGATGGTTTTAGGTGATGAAGATAAACAAAATGGGGAAGTTATTCAATTTTGAAATGCTTCTCAGAATTTCAAAACGATCGACAATTAAAGGCTTGAATGGCTAAATCTGACGTCGATGATGAGCAGACGTATTTTGTGCTAGCGGTCTCGAAAATGCAATCATCTATATAATAAAGTCTACCTACGGTGTCGGATGAAAACCTGTTCGTTGCTGTTTATCTCTCCGTCTACCATATCAGGAAGTGTATGATATACATAGTCCCTAACAGCGATATCCGTATGCAAGAACATCGCTTTAATGTTATTGTTACAACAAATTGTTTTTATTTTATTCACAGGCCATGCCGATCCTATGGATCTCTGGGGCATGTATTACTGGAAAGACATTCCACAGAATAACGCCACACTGTCAGAACCCGTATACACCACACCACACTTGATCCATCACATCAATCCTGCTCTCAAGTTGATCGTCATTCTACGTGAACCATCAGAAAGGTATTGCTTATTCATACTGCATTTAATGTTTGCATTAACTCTGTAGTACAAGATCTAGTATTGACATTAACAATAGGGAATAATCTAAGATAATATCAATTGTTTTCATAATTGCTGTAATAGAAATAAAAAGTTAATATGATATTTATCATTGATTTGGTTCATTTTCTAATTTTAAGTTTAGGTCAAGTATGTTTAAGAAAATTACAGAAGAAGTTCATCAAATATTTTAACAATACGATGAAGTAAACAACTAATGTTTGCTTTGTGTGGCCTTCTACATCGGTTTTAAATATTTTTAACGGCGCGTCATAATTTCGTATTTATGTTTGTTGGTTTATTGGGGTTTTTTTACGATTGAAAAAAACAAGATGCAGAAAAGCATGAAGCTATAGTTTGATCAGCTTGTGCTGGTACCTGTATATTGGTGACTCGTTAATTTCTTGCAGTTTTTAACTTAGTGATTTAATTGGTATTCTCATAGGACCTACAGTCACTACCTGTTCCGCCGTCTAGGTAACAGTGCGCGAGAATTCCACCATCACGCCGTGGGTAATTTTACACTACTCAACACATGTGTAAAAAACGTTGGCAGCATGAGGGCTTGCTTGTTTAATGAATCGCTTTTGGAACATTATAAACGTGTAAGTAGTGTGTTTTTTTTATTCTTATCTGACTACTGACAAAATCATTTTTTTGTCCTCTTAATATGCAACTAAGTTATTCGTCGTTTCGTTGCGGTAATTCACGTGACTGTTGACATGTGCCCTGTTGCAAATCTAATCATGTCACGTGTAATAGTCTATTGTTTTTGTTTGAAACTTCAATGGTGATCTATTATTTGTACAACGTGAGTGTTTCTTTCAATGAAAATAAGATGCAAGAACGTTTCACATCACACATTTTACGAGTGTCAAAATCGACATCTGTAACTTGTTCTCAACGTTCCTGTTGGGTTTTTCTATCATTAGTATGTGTGAGTATTATTATTATCACCTTTTCTTGTTGTCATACCTTAAACATAACTGCATACCATACTAAAGGTACTACTTATGAAGCAATTTCAGTAAGATTTGATACGAATAACAATTCGGACACCATGTCGGAGCCATATTTTTTTTTTTTTGTCATTTAATTTTTCGACGACACGCATACAAATATGACCAATGATGGTAGAAATAACTTGCTGAGTATCACTTAGAATCCATATTTCAATATCACTGCGAATTGGTGAACATTTTGTGACAGTACTAAAGAATAACATCTTTTAAATTTTGATTGTTTTCTATAGTTACCAGTTCTGTTAGACAATAGGCATCAAACCAAAACTAATCGTGAATTTCCGACATTATCTGCATGTGACGTCACTTATGATTGGTCTTCAACAGCTCAACAGTATAAAGGAAAGACCCGAAAAGTTTGAGATATTTCAGATTGGAAAACATTCACATGCAAAAGTTCTTGTTTTTATGGTTTTTACCTCGATTTAGACTGGTAGATTTATGTTAGGACTGCTCCACAGCACACTTACACACACACACACACACACACATACACACAAATATATATATATATATTTAAATATATGTAAGGTGTTTTTTATTCTTTCAGTTTCCGATCCATGGTAGTTTTTATTCCATATTATTGAAGGAGTGGTTTTCAGTGTTTCCGAGGGAACAGTTCCTTATCATGCGCACCGAAGATTATTCCAGTAATATGACATCCCATCTACGCAAAATATTTAATTTTTTGGAAGTTGGTGAGTATTCAAACTGTAGATATGAATGAAAGTAATTTAAGCAGACTGACACAAGCAAGGAAAGCTTTTAAATATCTCTTAAGTGGAGATTCAAAAGTAGCGAAATTGTCAATAGACCATGGTTTAGAGAGATAAAGGTAACGTCATGACATTAAACAGCCACAAAAAACGCCTATAAAAATGAGCATGTCAACACAAGATTTCGCGTGAATTGCATTTTTAATGTTGTTCAATTATATAAGCCTCTAAAAAGAGCTATAGATAGTACTACTTTGGAATTGTAGATACGACACGCCACGTGTTTCAATGAATCCATCTCATCGATTTTGTATTTGAATATAAGCAAACAGCATAGGTCTTACACTGTACCCCTGTTTAACAGTATTTGTTTAATTTATTGGTCTTAATATTTTCTATATTTTCAGATGACATAACAGAAACAGAACTAAACAATATGTCCAGAGTACCAGTACGAAGAATAACAAAGCATAAGAAAGCGATAGGAAACATGCTACCAGAAACTAAACTTTTCTTGTACAAAATATTCCAACCATATACCGAAGAGTTAGCCGATATGCTCCATGACAAACGCTTTTTATGGGAGGAGAACAGCATCATATCGTCATAAGAATGAATGTTAAACCTCGGTGTTGCTGTCATGTTCTAAAAATTGAAATAATAAAAATCAATGGACGATTTTCTCAATGGCTTGAATAATAGGAAGGCATGTATTGCTTGTTCATTGATTTCTAAATATATGCACACTAGAATACAAATATAATTATGAGTGCGAAGTACCAGTTGAAAAAATTGTATCTTCTGAGCCAGTGAAAAAGAAAAAAAACAATTGCTGTATAAAAACGTAGCTTGTTTTCTGCGCATTTCTGATTCCGAATGTATATACAATAGCGGAACATCTCTTGTTCTCGAACATTATGTCCACTTACTCAATGGAAGGTATTTCAAAAGAGTCCAGATTATAGTTTCAATAGTAACATTTAAATGGCTTTGTCAAATCCGTATTCAATGTTAAGCAGAGATTCAATGACTTATAAATGAAGAGAGTACGAACAAAGCGAGAAGTGCTGCAGCTATTTTGTCATAAAATGTAAGTCAGTCATAGTCACTTGAGCGTTTGTTTCAATTGGTTTCTGGAAGTTGTAATGTCGAAATATCATGAATGAGAAACATTATTCTGTACTTCTAATGTATGATTGTGAGTGACCAAGTAAACGATTTATTCAAATTGTATTAACATGTATTTTAATTTATTTAAAGTACAGATTTGTAGATGATTTATTATTTGATGCGTTCGTCGCCATGGAACAGGCAGTACCCTGCTTATTGTAATTTTGTTTTTATTGGGAGTGGTTGTAGAAATTTATTTTGAAGTATGTCGTATTGCGAGCGATAAGGAAATGTGAATATTGGCATAGATAAAGAGAAATGGGGGAGTTAACGTTTGTTTACATTTTAGACAGGCAGGTTACAGCATGTACAGTAACATGCTCTTGTTATCTATCATTTATATTAGACAAGATTTGATATTTGAGTGAATTTTCAAATATCTCAAGACAGTTTTATTGATGTTATGCCCTTTCAAGTATTAATAGACATGAATTCAAACTATCCTGGAAAAATAGTATTCTCTTCTGATGTCTATTGCACAATTATTTATTATACATTTAAAACGACACAAAAACAAATCAGGTTGGTAAGTATAGCTTGTCAAAAGATACATAACACAACCAATAAATAGGGGGGGGGGGGATAAGATATTATCTCTTATTTCGGGAACACCATATTGGGCTTGTCAAGCATTAAGAACATTTTGTTGCACTGTTCTTACTCTCTATGTGAAAGTTTTAAACTAGGGTGTTTAACGTTACATGTCTCGCACTTTCGTATGCTACCATTGAATCATTCGATACAAACCAGAACCTTACATAGGTATACCAAGCACGTCATCATGTAACAGCCGATGTCACAAATATCATAAGTCAAAGACAACATTAACGGTCTGAGTACATGAAAGCAGACAAAGAAATAGGTTCACCACACTAGTATATTGACACTATGATTACCATACACCAATACTAAGCGCAGAATAACAGTTGTTCTTTAGGGACCCATTCAGTCCGACATTTCGATGGTTCCGGATCAGTTGGAGAAAGATTTCTGAATTACCATCTCGTTTACGACCAGCACCGAGATACTACAACTCGAAACAAGCATAATAAGAGTTCAGTCTGTCATTGTCGCAGATTTCTTATTTTTGGAGGAAACACTTTGACTGAAAGGACACTTCCAGAGATACTCTATAAAAGTATTAGTCTCATGTCGAAATTGAACCAGCATACATGTAGCAGGAGGCGCAGACATTCAAGACGTAAAACAGCAAGGGTGGGAGAACTGGGAAATAAGAAAAAGCTGATTTGAGGCAGTTTCAAGACTGCATTGATAGACAAACAAACTATTCTCACACCTCAGACAGACATATTCCACATTATACCCATGCTAAAAGTTGTTTATCTCGTCCAATCTGTCTGGTACCTTTATGTGACATTTCGCGGAATTGTACACTGTGATGTTTTCATCCGCGCGGCAACGGCTTGCAATTAAAAATCTGCATTATAAGAATTCTGTTTTGTCGTGTCATGAATTGTGTCGATGTTGTTAGATATCTGATGTCGTAGATAAAATATAATCTATATCACGAATAAAAGGTCGTAATCTTTTGTGAAAAGGATGTAAATAGTTCTATATTTCGAAAGTATACCAGATGAATCTTTTATACAAAATATAGTTAAAAAATGACGTTGATGAAACCCATACATCTATTTCATATCAAAATCGTCACAAGTACGGAGGCATATCATGACGATTTTTATACATTAATTTAATTGTACGGATAATCGAATTACGCGTATTGATCACTAATTCGTGTGTACGATTGATGAACTGGAACATACAGATTATATTGAACTGTACATTGTTTATATATAGTATTTAGTGTTTTCTTCGTACGCACAGATTATGAAATCTTGCCACTGTACAAGCGAATCACGATATCGCTTTTACGATTTTAATTAGACGTACGGATTACTATTTCATACGTGTAGTATTTATCTAAAAGTAACGTAGTCAAGAAAAAAATCGGCCGTAATATGTTTCCCTCGTGCGATAGAAAAGCTAGTGTAGTTGAATATGTTCAGTCCGGATTCCTTGTCACTTCTCCGGTTTTTTCTTAGGGAATTTACATTGAACTAGATTTAAATGGATGGATGGATGAATGGATGGAAGGATGGATAGATGAATGGACGAGCAACATTTTGTTTTTTGTTACTTTTCGATTAATGATGTGATCGAAACTTATAGTTGACTGTTGCGATAGGCATGTTGATCTATTAAAAATGTGGTAATTATAAGTTTTGTCGTGATTTCCAAAGCTTATACAAATTTATCGTTGAAAACCATAATGAATAGTGTAGTGTTTGGCTATTTTATTACTGCTATGTCTGTGAATTATATTTTCGGACTTTGTAATGTAATCATATCAACCTTTGATCCCCTTTCTTATCCACCAAAATAACGTAGAGATGAATATCTGTATATAACTGGCTGATTCAGTATAAGGGATCTCCGTACCACTGCCAAAATCTGTAACTACCCATTAGACACTGGTTTTCCTCCATAACTATAGCTTTGATTAATCATTACTGAAAAGAAAACCATTGATTGCAGGGGTTTTATGAAAAATGATAAAGATGAAATTAGCAAAATATAATCAACAACAGTCATTAAGTGGGACTAGACTGGTTTCACACCCCGTGCTCCAGATGTGTATACTATCGAGTTATCCATTGAGCTATCTGGTTTTCTGAAATGCCCTGGGCCATAAATCAAAACGAAATTAAAGGGAGGTAACTGTAAAAACCATAGTGCAGAGGACAGGATTCCTTAATGACTAACACTTACGTCGTAATAGAAAATGTTTGAGTAAATCATCACTTAACCTATGGAACATTAATTTTGTAGGCGTCTGTCTTAAGGATCTATGTCCTGTTAGATATATAATGTACTATAATACACATGGTCTTTTAGCTAGAAATGCACCGGTGGCATACGACAGTATGTCAAAATTCACCATTTAAAAAAATATAACAATATGAAAACAAAATGAGTAGGAATGTTCGTGTGTTGTATCTTTTCTATACGACTGTCTGTAACAGAGTCGATCTTTAGTTAATTGTTTTGTTGTTATGTATAGAAGAGCATGAGAGCCATGCTAAAACAATAAGTGCGACTTATTAACTCGCAATTTCAACTTAATTACTTGAAATTCGAGATACTAACACGACATTTCAACTGAATAACTCGAAATTTCGAGATCATAACTGTTTAAACTAGAACCTGTTTAATCTGGATTTGTGTGTGAACAAATCAGTTGGTCTCAATTCTTTTACTTTAATGATTTAACTTCGAATTACGTTTCCCTTCAAAACATTAGTGAACATACACAAATACATGTATGAACCGTAATCAAATCACGTTCTGTGTTAGTTCAATCCTTAGTGTTAGACAGGATAGTTAACAGTTGACCAGTCATTCTCAACCTTCCCGGGGTATTCACATGAGCATATGTTATACTAACATGGTTCAGCTTATAACGGTGGCGATATATGAAACGATCTCTTAATGAATATGAATGATAAATATTTCTTGTGAATATCGACCTTTTCTTATCATTTTAGTTATTGAAAATTGAAAGCGAACGGAACCAGAAAAGAATGCAATATAGATTCACAGAGAGTTTATATGATGTTGTAAAAGAAGTATTCGCCTAGGAAACAGCCGGTTTACATTGTCCTGATCTTAATTAATGAGGTTAATGAGTTAAAGACTAAATAATCTGGCCGGTTTACACAAAGATCCAGATTGGACAGAATATGTTTTTTTTTTAAATCCACAGTACATCATACTTATTAAACTATGAAGCTTCAATACATCATAAAGATCGCATAAAAGTGTTTCTGGAGTTTTATATCAGGCGTGTTATTGGACTTTTCTGGAGGGGCTTTGCGCTTTAGGCGAAATCAGTATTGCTGCTTAAATGTTTAGTTACTTGTATTCTCAACGCTTCTTGGGGCTTCGCTCCCCCTCCTCTCCCATAATCCCAACCAGCGCTTCGCCACTGGAACCCCTTCTTGAAAATTTGGCTCAACGGAAGGTGCACTCCACTATCTGAAAATCATCGGACCGCCGCTGCATACAGCCATTGCACATGTTCTAATGTAGAAATTCGAGTTATTATCCTCGAGTTATTATCTTCGAGTTATTAAGTCGAAATATCGAGTCAGTATCTTGAAATTTCGAGTTAGTATATCGGGATTTCGAATAATTAAGTCAAAACTTCGAAATTTCAAGATCCTTAATCGAAATTTCGACCTACTTACTTGAAATTTCAAGATAAAAACCCGAAATCTGGATATATCTACTCGAAAGAAAAAATCATGTGGCCCTTATGCTCTTTCTGGTTATGTATTGATTGCAGCTGTCAAAATGGCGATAACTTTTTATTTCTTTTTTTTTTCAAGCATTTTACTTCCCCAGCACATTAAGGATCCGAGGTTGGGGAGCCCCGGGATCAGTATCTTCACAATCATGTGACCTCATACATGAGGGCTATCATACTTTCTTTCATACTTACTAGTAGTTATATTATTATTTATTTATTTTCACTGTCTTCTTTAACATTTATACTTACATTCAAACT